AAGCTTTTTAAAGTCTTTGTGAATATTTTGTGTTAGTTTGGTTGAAGCAGAAATGACAGCAATTTTTATAAGTAACATTTATAGCATACGAACGATTGATCTTCACTAGTTATTTCACTGTCGTTAATCATTACACATACTTAGCTGTGCCGTCTTGACAGTGAATATGGAATTTGCAGACAGAGTACATTAGGACCACTTTGTATCTGTGCTGCCAAATAGCCTCCATTCAAGGCCATGGGGAAGGTAGAGAGAGTCAAATGCTTTCCTCCTGGTTACTGTTCATGGAGAGCTTTCTTTGTCCTCATCTGATGAAAGTTGTGTATTATAGTGCATTAAAATGTGGTGAGTAAGATCTATAGCTATTTATTATATGTCTCTGGAGGAAAAGGGTTTTTTCCCCCTCTTTCACCCTTTATAGAGGGATGCAGACATCTAAGAAATAGTCCCTGCTTTCAGGAAATGTAAATTGTAGTTAATTGGGTTACAATGCCTCTCCTTTCTCTCCCCCTTTAAGCTTACCCACTGTATCATTTAGTAGGGAAGAAGAAATTAGATGTTTCTTAAATACCAATTATAAGATGTCTACATCTTAAAATATGACCCTTTTTTCCACGTGTTTGGGCCCAGGGCTGTGGGCTTCTTCATGGGCGAGTTGAGCTGGTTCCTGGGTGTTTACCTGGTTCTGGTTGCTGCTGCAAAGTACTGGTCCCGCCAGGCCTGGCACCTGACTGCGGGCTCAGAGCACGTGCTCTGTAAGTGTTTGTTCCATGGGGAGCCTGTGAAGCAGTGAGATGCCACTCTGAAGATGGGACTAGTCTCGTCTCTGCTTTAAATTTGAACAAATGCAAATTAGTGAGTGCAGCTCTGGGCCTTAGAGGTACAGAAAAAATAAGGCCTTCTCTTTTTCTGGGATCTCTAGTCCAGCTGGGGTGGTGGACGGATCAGTGAATGTAATCTGATGTGGAGAAGTGTTATTCCATGCTGTGGACTGAATTCCAGGGGAGCGTATAGCACTCTGAGGAGTTCCACCAGGAGCCCCCGGTTCTTTCTTCCAGGCAGAGGCTGGAGTGGGGGTGGTATGAGGAGGGATTCTGGTGGAGGGTGCATGTGTGAATAAACCCAGAGGACAGCCAGTGCCTGCTGCTCGCAGGAATCCACCTGATTACAGGCCCCACTGATTTTTCTCTTTGTATCAGAAATGTAAACTATTGTGTGTGGAATAGATGCTGCCAGGATTACTCTTGAGGAGCTGTTAATAGTTATTTGTGTGTCAGGAGTCTTTTGATTCACTTTAGCCATTTTTCTTTTGGCTGAAAGTGTAATAGAGGCATGGTGTAATAGAGGCGTGTGTATGACACACAGAAAAATGTGTAGCATTTGAAATTGTTTATTCGGGGTAGTTCCTGAACTTACTGATTGTTCTATGCTTGGAATATCAGTTACCCAGTTTTCCTAAGAACAGTGCTTTTATTTAGTGTAGTCTGTTATTTGTTGTTTGCTCAGTTGCTGAGTCGTGTCTGGCTCTGCGGCCCCATGGACTGCAGCATGCCAGGCTTCCCTGTTTTTCACTGTCTCTCAGAGTTTGCTCAAACTCATGTCCATTGAGTCGCTGATGCCATCCAACCATCTCATCCTCTGTCTCCCCCTTCTGCCCTCAATCTTTCCTAGCATCAGGGTCTTTTTTTCCAGTAAGTTGGCTTTACACATCAGGTGGCCAAAGTATTGGAGGCTTCAGCATCAGTCCTTACAATGAATGTTCAGCTTGAGTTCCTTTAGGATTGACTGGTTTGATCTCCTTGCATTATAGTTTGATTTCAAAGCTCTTGTTGTGCTCCACAGCAGTTTTGAGTAAAATAGATGTTAAAAAGAGTGACACCAGAGAAGACCATTCACAGTAGGAAGGTGGTATCTATGTGAGAGGCAGCTTGCGAAGGACTGGCTGAAAGAAACCACACTGGCTTCTTTCTCTCAGGTGTAAACACATGCTTCTTAGTCATCATAGTAGAAAAAAAGAGGCTTTATTGTAGCAGATTGAAGTTGTAGAGCTCTACTTTTATTTGACTGGAAGATTAAGTAATAAATGTCTTTAAAACTTTATGCAGATGGAGCAGATAGAAGTAATTAGGCTTATTCTTTGTTGTAGAAATCTTGATCACTCTTGGCATTCTTCAGAATTCTTTAAACCCTTGGGTATTTTCTTTGTGTATTAATAGGGCCTGCTCTATATTTAGTACTGTTGGAGCCCAGAGCATGCCTCTCCAAATAAGCCTCAATGGCATGTTGAGTTTTTTGAATTAAAGTTACTTAAGAAAGAGCTGATGCAGGAGGGCCCCTCTGACCTTCCTGTCTGTGTCTGAAAGCAGGCAGTAAATCTCCATGTGAGAGGTACCCTCCCTGACTCCCGAGGCAGAAGGCCGCTATCCCCCCGAGACGAATTTAGGACCCAGAAGCCTGTATGAACAAACCTGGTGTCTTCTTGAATTTACTATCCAAGTGCAGACTCTGGTTAGGGTTCTTCGCTAACTAAGCACCCAAGCCTGTTTCTTTGTTCTGTCAATTCCTCACAAATGTATCATTTCCTTGTCTAAAAAGTATAAAAGCTGCCTGCTCTGGCCCACTTTCTTGGTCCCCCCTTCTAGGAGACCTCCATGCACACAAATTAAAATTTCTGTTTTTCTTGTTACTCTGTCCATTTTATTGTTAGTCCAGCCTAGAGAAGTCAAGATGGGTAGAATGGGAAATTTCCTCCCCACCCCTCCAACAGTGCTCTTTAGAGCTGTCTTGATGGAGTTAGTGAATGTTATTGTCTCTGAAAGTGGCTTATACACTTCATTGTTTTATCTGGTTTCTGAGGCTGGACTTATGCTACAGCTCTGAACTTTGACTTTTTTAGTTGGTTACTCAGTCACTGAGACCCTGAGTCAGAGCTTCATGATCCTTGTTTAGAGAGGGCTGATGGTGGGGAGGGGGGAGCAAGTTATTTCATTGGTGATTTTCCAAGTTTAGTTGGTTAATTTATACTCTTGTTTCTTTTTGAAACAAAATTTGAAATGCTTTAAAAAAAATACTTTGTAGGTCATCAGAAATAACCAACTCATACCCCATGGAAGTTCTCCTTGGTTTGGAGCATAGGTCAAGAAGTGGGAACCACGCTTTCTTTCTTTTTTGCCCACAGAGTGTTTTTTACATTATTGAAATAGGTGCCAATGTTTAGAAATCAGATTTAACATGAAAATGTAGCTCATCTTTTAAAAGAGGCAGGTGTGTCCTCTTTCTCCAAGCCTGTACCAGCCACAGGCTGGAGCAGAAATGATAGGGCTTAGGCTGCTTGCTTTCCACAGCCCACACTTGGTCCAGCTTGCCACTCAGGGTACTTACTCCACGACTTCAGACGTTGAGTAACTCTAAAGAGATTCACTAAACTTGAACTATAATTTTTGTGTATAAATTTTGTGTAACTTTAGTCTAACATTATATAAATTGGGGGAAATGTAATACTATTGATATCCGTAATCAAATTAAGTTACCAAGCAAAAATAAATAAATACAGCTAGATAAAATAAAAGGTAAGGGAGGAAGTTGGAGGGGAGGGAAAAGCCAGATAGGAAAAATACAGTTAGCACTCAGAGTCACACTGAGGAGTTTGTAGTGTTAAATATGGGTGGTGGCTTTGACTCCACACTTCTTAAAGGCAAAGACAGGGAAGAAGACATGATGAATAATGTGATTTATTCTGTCCATCCTTAAGGTGAAAAGATGACACTTGGAGTACAAGTATTTATGGTCCTGAAGCTCCCAGAGGGGGTGTCTCAGTGGCTTGGGGCGCTTCAGTGGTAGTGGTTTTGTGGAAATGCACTTCACTCCACCCCTCCCCCCCATGGTCTGGCTTCATCCAGGGGTGAAGTGTTCCCCTTCACTCCACAGTGAGAGCACAGAGAGAAACCCCACGTGGTCAGAACTGATCTGTGAGCATCTCTTCAATTGTCTAACAGCAATCTGTCTTCTACCATTTAAGCAGACTCTTGTTTCTCTAGGGGAATCACGGAATGAGGAAATTGGCTGGCATTTAGGTGCCGTGTTGCACACAAAAATTCTTCTCTTCATAACTCGGAGATGATAGCCAGTACGGGCAGTGCTCCTGGCGTCAGAGGCATGTGGGAAGCGAGGTGCAGGCTGCGGGGGTGGGAACCGTGCAGGGTCCTTGCCTCCCCCAGGCACACGCTCTTCCGGGAAGGGCACTCACACTGGCTCGCTCTCAGCTCTCTCTCTCCCTCTGTGTCTCCCTCTGCTTCTGTTTCCTTCCCTCCTTCCCATTCCCCGAGCCCCTTTCTCTCTGGTTGAACGTGTGTAAGCTCAGAAAACCGCTGTTGCCTTGCTATATCTGAGAATGCACAGTGTTTTGCCCCCCAGGCAATCCTTCATGGGTTTTCTTTCTCATAATTTTACTTTAGGTACAGATACTAGGTGACAGAGGACGTGGTTATACTCTCTGTCCAGAACAGGAGATGCAGAGATTCTGTTTTGAGAGCAAATCTGTAACCCTCATAGTCATCAAAAGAATCCGAAATGGAGTACTTGGGTGCAATCTCAAAAACCTACAGAACTGACCGTAAAGAGTCACTGTAAATGGGGATTTGGGTTGCCGTGGGGAGTGGAAGTCAGTCTCAGCTGGGGTTGTGGCTCCGAGGGTTGTGAGCTTAGTGGCGAGGCAGGTTGCCCAGACTCCTCTCTGCCTCAGTCGTCTCCTCTTTAAAACCACAAGGACAGTGTTGGCTTCGCAAGGTAACGCGAAGCTTCCATAAGATGACCCAGGGAGTGGCTGCTGAGTCGCTCAGTCTGTGTAGCTCTTCTGTGTCATGAATCAAGGAGCTGACACAGATAGGCCTGCCCTACCTCCCCACAAAATTAAGTTATCAGTACAGGCAGTGTTCTGAAAAGGATGTTTGGAAATTAACCTTTTTTTTTAACTGATGTGCAACAATTTTATCATTTTTCAGAGAAACAGCACCCAGGACTATCTTCCAGAGAGTCCTGGATATCTTAAAGAAATCTTCTCACGCTGTTGAGCTGGCCTGCAGAGATCCATCCCAAGTGGAGCATCTGGCTTCCAGTCTGCAGCTGATAACGGAATGCTTCCGGTGTCTCCGGAATGCCTGTATCGAGTGTTCTGTGAACCAGAATTCAATCAGGTACTGTTCGTTCTTGTTACATACATGCCTTTGATTATATGGGCTTCCCAGCTGGCACCAGTAGTAAAGAGCTCGGCTGCCAATGCAGGAGATGCAAGAGATGTGGGTTCAGTCCCTGGGTCGGGAAGATCCCCTGGAGGAGGGCCTGGCAACCCACTCCATTATTCTTGCCTGGAGAATCCCATGGACAGAGGAGCCTGGTGGGCTGCAGTCCATGGGATTACAAAGAGTCAGACACGACTGAAGCTACCTAGCACGCATGCATGCTTTGATTGTATTTCTTTGTGTCTGTGCGTGCTGGTTCTGCCATGTTGGCTTATCCAGTAGAAATGATCTTGGCATCACAGCTGCCTGTTTAGATTCAGACTGTCGCCACATCTTGGGGACAAGTGCTCTGCAAGACTCGCCGTGGGAGACTCTTAGATGAATTTATAAAGGTACAGCACGTTTAACATTAAGATTACTTCCGTTTCTTACTTGTATTTATAAGTTTAGAGGTATTTGGTTTTCTACATAAAAGTGATTTGAACTTTGTTCCTTTGATTCTGCCTGCCTCAAGGCATATGCAGTTCTAGACTTCACTTATTAATTGTAAATATTTTAATTAGTTTTTGTGTTTTAATTAGTTGCTCTTGTCTTTACTTTGAACAGGGAGCACATCATGAATTTCTCAGCTTTCCTTAAGATCCTGTAAACTTGCCAGCTTACCTCCACCTAACTTACAACATACGACTAAAATGTCATTACCGAGATGAGTGAGAGAATTGCCCTGAGCTGCTCTTGTTCCTGTACACGTTACACTCTCCTCCCAGAACTGAGCACCTTTCCTCTTTGGTTTTATGGAATCTACTTTTTATTAAAAGTTTTTACTTGAGGTGATGTCAGAAGCCATAGAGCATGCTCACCTTTATTTCCTGGACTCGAGTGCAGACAGAGCCCAGGAGCCTTGCTGTCAACTGCCAGGATGAGTGAAGGCGAGCTGGTGCAGAAGCCAGTGGAGGGATTCCCTGCACTGCCTGGACCGTCTACACCTGAGGCTTGAATGTGATCAATGAGATTCTTTAGATCAAAGGAGAGGACGGGGTGGGGGGTGGGGGGGAAGCGAGGCTTTAACCTCAGCACAGAATTGAACATGGCATCCTATGCAGATGAATGGATAGACACAGTAATAATCTTGGTAGCAACAGTTAACTTTGCGAAAGTGTAACTAGTTCTGTGCTGGATGCAGCAGGCCAGCACTGAGTCTGTTTTGTCACTTTCCAGGCAGGTAGGCCTCTAGTGTGACGGGAGGGGAGGAGACCCCTGAATGGACATGCTAACCGTTTGGGGCATCAGCTCTTGGAGGAACCATTCCTCTAGTCAGAAATACAAGAGAGATTCCGGTCAGTCTCAACTAAAGCTGATGTTGCCAAGCCTGTCAAGCTTCAGATCTCAAGAAAAACGTATTTTTCTGATGTTTTAAGTTATTAAAGAATTAATTAAAAAGTAGGATGCTGTTAGGGCCTAGGTCTTTTTATCTCCTTTGTCTGAAAATTGCACTTTGTGTGGACTGGAATTATTTTTTGCCAAGGCTGTATGGAACATGGGATTTAATACAGCAGAGCAAACAATCTGAGTCATATGAAATTTCAGGAAGTACTCAGAGAAGACTGTTAAAAGCAGTTAGCCCTGCCTGTAAATATGACCCCTGTTGCTGGGGTTGCTGTGCTGGTACTGCACAGAGCCAGATGAATAGTTCAGGCTCTGTGGTCTCTGTCAGAATGGTTCAGTTCTCCCATTGTTTGTGGGAGCAGCCATACATAGTACGTGAACAAACGCATATGCTGTGTTCCAACAAAACCTCATTTGTGAGCATCGAAATTTGAGTTTCATAGAATTCGCATGTCATGAAGTTGCATTTATCTCCTCCCCTGAAATCTGGCCGATAGAAGTAGGCAGTGCGCCCAGTCACTTGACAGCTGTTTGTACGTGTAAAGGCAAGGGCTGCTACTGCTAAGTCACTTCAGTCGTGTCTGACTCTCTGCGACCCCATGGACGGCAGCCCACCAGGCTCCCCCGTCCCTGGGATTCTTCACACAAGAACACTGGAGTGGGTTGCCATTTCCTTGTCTAGCGCGTAAAAGTGAAAAGTGAAAGTGAAGTCGCTCAGTCATGTCCAACTCTTAGTGACCCCATGGACTGCAGCCTACCAGGCTCCTTTGTCCATGGGATTTTCCAGGCAAGAGTACTGGAGTGGGGTGCCATCGCCTTCTCTGAAAGGCAAGGGCAGAAAGAGGGAATAGCTTCTTCTCTTCCGAGGCAGGCGCCGAGCCGCGTTTCCCTTCACTCCTGTGTTTGAAAAAAGAGGACAGGGGCAGTGCCATCTGCCCACCTGGGCTTGGGGAGGGGCGAGAGGGTCCTCGCCTTTGCACACTCACCCTGACCCTCGTCTTTAGCAGTGAATGTCTTGGCCTAATTCTGATTCTTGTTGAGAAGAAGTGAAGAATGTAGGGAGCTATATGAGTTCCTTTTGCTGTTGTTACAAATTACTGCAAATATAGTAACTTAAACCAACACAAATTTATTATCTGACAGTTTTTGAGTTCAGAAATCCAAAATCCATTTTTCTGACCTAAAGTTGAAGTGTCAGCAGAGCTGGTTCATTCTGAGTCTCTAGCAGAGAATCCATTCTCTTGCTAATCTGTTAGTAGCTTCTAGAGTCTGTCTGCTTTCCTTCCTTCATGGCTCCGTCTTCCCATCTTCAAAGCAACACTGTAACATCTTCCAGTCTTTCTGACTCTGACCATCTGGTGTCCCTCTGATAAGGACCATTATAGTTATATGAGGCCCACCTAGGTAGTTCAAGATAATCTTCCCATCTTCAAGTTGTTAATTTAATCATACCTAGAAAGGTCTCTTGTATTTTCTGACCAGTTCTTATTCTCCAAAAGCAGCCCGGAGTCCAACATTTCAAATCCATTCTGACCCTAACTACCTCAAGTTAGTGATGTCACATCCCATAACTTCATGACTCAATCCCACAGGACTGTCCCACTTGATGCCAGGGGCAAACGGGGTCCCCAGGCTACATATTTGCCCAGCCAACTACAAAGTCAGGGCTTCCCAGGGTACCCGCAGGTTTGATAATTCAGTAGAACGACTCAGGGAACTCAGGGAAGCACTTTACATTCTATTACAAGTGTCCTGGAAAGGGAGACACGGAAGGGATACTCAGGATGGGGCAGGGCAGACTTCTAGGCCTTTTCTAGGCCTGCCATCTTCTAGACACTTTGGTGTGTTCATCAGCCCATTTGAAACCTTTCCAAGCTCATTGTTTAGTATTCTTCATGAAAATTCTGTTACATAGACACGATTGATTGGATCATTGGCCAATGGTAATTGAACTCAGTCTCCAGCTGTCTTCCCTTCCTCTGAGATGGGAGGTTGGGTTGAAAGTTTCAGCTGTCTGATCTGATCTTATGGTTGGTTCTTGTGGCAGCGGCCCCCTCCTGAAGCTGTCTACAGGCCCAGTGATAGTCACCTAATTTATTAGCATAAACTGAGAAGGGTTGAAGGGAGCTTGTTAGGAATAACAATGATAGTCACCTAATTTACTAGCATAAACAGGAGGGTTGAAGGGGCTTGTTGGGATTAACGAGAGCCCTTCCTGTCACACAGGGACTTCAAGGATATCAGGAGCTCTGTGCCAGGAACCGGAGGACAAAGATTAAATATGTATTTCTTATATCACACCTCTTTTGCCATGTGAGGTAACTTTCAAAGTTTCAAGTTTAGTATGTGGACGTTTTTCAGTGACCCTTATTTTGCCTAGCACAGTCTACCCTTTGGCCCCTAAAGATTCATGTCCATACTATGTGCAAAATACGTTCATCTCATCCTGAGATCCCTCAAATTCTTGACCCGTTACAGCACCAACTCAAGTCCAAAATCTTATCTAAGTCTCATTAGCTAAAATGTCCCAAATCTTACGTCTGAATTATATATGGTTGAGATTCTGGGTATGATTCACTCTGGGACAGAATTCCTTTTTATCTTTGGGCTCGTGGAACTGGACAGCAAGTTGTCTGCTCCCAAAATACAATGGAGGGACAGGCATAGGGTAACAGTTTTAGACATTACCCTCTAAAAAAGGAGAAACTTGAGGGAAAAGAGGACTCATTGGCCCCAAGCAGTTTCAGAACCCACTTGGGCAAACTCAGGTTTTGAGGCTTGGGAATAATCCTCTGTGGCTTGAGGCTCTGCCCTTGCTCTTACCCTCAGAGTCATCCTTCCTTTTTCTTGAAGGGTAAGGGCAGCACATGTTTTCATCCAAATAGTTTTATCAGCCTATTTCCTGCTCATAGACTTTTGGGAGTTTAACAGCCTTCTTTCATTCTTTCTCTGTGCATTTCATCCACGTTGGCAGGGTTTCTACTGGTGTAACATTCGTAAAAACCTCGTGGGTCTCACGTGTATGTCATGGGGATTTATGCACCAATGAGCAGTACAGGATGTGCTGTCGAGCTTTCTCAGATAACCCATCTCTGTTCCTGATTTCTGCTGAGATGACCAGAAGGAATGAGGAACATGCCTGATCTCCTTAAAGAGCTCTCTGGGTGACTGAACACTCACCTTTGAGTTCTTCTAAGTCATTAGCACAAGCTGGAATCAAGATTGCCCGGAGAAATATCCATAACCTCAGATATGCAGATGACACCACCCTTATGGCAGAAAGTGAAGAGGATCTAAAAAGCCTCTTGATGAAAGTGAAAGAGGAGAGTGAAAAAGCTGGCTTAAAGCTCAACATTCAGAAAACTAAGATCATGGCATCCAAGTCCCATCACTTCATGGCAAATAGATGGGGAAAACAGTGGAAACAGTGACTGACTGTGTTTTTCTGGGCTCCAAAATCACTGCAGATGGTGATTGCAGCCATGAAATTAAAAGACGCTTACTCCTTGGAAGGAAAGTTATGACCAACCTAGACAGCATATTAAAAAGCAGAGACATTACTTTGCCAACAAAGGTCCGTCTAGTCAAGGCTATGGTTTTTCCATTGGTCATGTATGGATGTGAGAGTCGGACTGTGAAGAAAGCTGAGTGCTGAAGAATTGATGCTTTTGAACTGTGGTGTTGGAGAACACTCTTGAGAGTCCCTTAGACTGTGAGGAGATCCAACCAGTCCATCCTAAAGGAGATCAGTCCTGGGTGTTCATTGGAAGGACTGATGTTGAAGCTGAAACTCCAATACTTTGGCCACCTCATGCGAAGAGTTGACTCATTTGAAAAGACCCTAATGCTGGGAGGGATTGGGGGCAGGAGGAGAAGGGACGACAGAGGATGAGATGGCTGGATGGCATCACCGACTCGATAGACATGAGTTTGAGTAAACTCCGGGAGTTGGTGATGGACAGGGAGGCCTGGCGTGCTGCAATTCATGGGGTCGCAAAGAGTCGGACACGACTGAGTGACTGAACTGAACTGAAGTCATTAGCAAAAGGTTGTTCAGCCACACCCTCAGCTTTCTCTCCAGAGCACACTTTCCTAACAGTGAAAATTCTAGTTTTCAGTGTCTTTTGCTATCTGGATGGACCAAGAGTTTCCCAAATTATACCTGGCTCCCTTTTAGTCTGCTTTATCTCTCCCTCCTTGCATTTTTACCATGTGTAGCAAGAGGAAATCAGGCCACACCATCAGTGTGTTGCTTGGAAATCAGCTCAGTTAAATATCCAGTTTCCTCTTTTGCTAAGCCTCTGCCATGGTAGAAAAAGGATTGCCTTTCTTCCAGTTTCCACTCCCCTGCTCCTCACTTCCTTCTGGGATCTCACCAGCAGTGCCTTCAGTGTCCGCGTTTCTACCAGTGATTTGTTCAAGGTGTCTTGGCTTTTCCTGTCATGCTTCTCAAAAGTCTTTCAGCCTCTGCTTGTCGCCAAAGCCCAAAACCACTTGCACATGTTTTCTCTCTGTTACAGCAGCACCTCATTTCTGCTACCCAAGTCAGGGTCTTGTTGCTACTGTGACAAATTACTAAAGCTTAATGGTTTAACACAACACAGATCTATTATCTCATAGTTGTGGGATTCAGAAGTCTACAGTGGGTCAGCATGGCTGAGTCCCTTCTGGAGGCTCTAGGAGAGTCTTTTCCTGGCCTTTTCCAGCTTCTAGAGGCTCCTGCATTTCTTGGCTCATGGCCACCTTCTCTGACTCTTGTAAGACCCGTGTGATATACTGGGGCCACCTGGTTAATCTGGGATAGTCTTTTCATTTCAAGGTCCTTAATTTACTCACCACTGCAGAAGTCCCCTTTGCCACGTAAAGTGACACATTGATGGGTTTAGGAGATTTAAGATGTGGGTACCTTGGAGGGCCATAAATCTGCCCACCATAAGAACTGTTAGCCAGTGGTCTCTGCATTCTTGGGATCATCATTCAAAGTACAGGTTTAAGAACAGGAATGTGTCTGACTTTGTCTTTTTTGAATACCTTATACAGGAACTTGGGTACAATTGGCGTTGCTGTTGACTTGATTCTTCTTTTTCGTGAACTGCGAGTGGAACAGGACTCCCTGTTGACAGGTAACTGACAGTATGAATCGTGGATTATTTGTATCTTTGACAAGGATTTAAATATCATTGCTTTGAGTATTACATCGTTCATTAGAGCAAATGTTCTATATGTTGTGAAACCGAGAAACTTCATTACTGATATTAAAGAGTGATCATAAAAGAAAGTTAGAGTAACTTCCTTTCCTCCGTTGTAGGCTGTGTCTCCTTCCCGCATTCATATGTCGAAGTCCTCACCCTTGGTGTACTCCTACATGTGATTACCTGTGGAGAAAGGGCCTTTACAGAGATAATTAAGATGAAGTGCGGTCGCAGGGGTGGGCCCTAATCTGACGAGACTGGAGTCCTTACAAGAAGGGGAGGTTAAGACACAGACAAGTGCAGGGGGCTAAGCACGTGAGAACACAGAAGATGACCATCTGCAAGCCGAGGAGAGAGGACTCAGAGGAAAGCAGGCCTGCTGACCGGAAGAAAACAAATTCTTGTTCAAGCCCCTCAGTCCATGGTGCTTTGTGAAGGCAGCCCTAGCAGAGGGAGTGTCTTCTAACACGTGTGATGTGTCAGGCCCTCTCCTAGGTGTTGGGTATGATCTGAACAGTGACCGTAGCACACAGACATGTCTGTCTTCAGGGTGCTTAGGTTCCAGTGAGGGCAGCCTTGCATTACATATATTAAATAAGTCAGATATATAGCATGACAGAGAAGGAAGTTAGCTCTGATTATTAATAGCTGCTGATGTGGGATTAAGAGGAAACCACGCTCCTTCATATGAAGACAGGAACCCCTTCCAGGCTTTTGGGATGTTTTTGGTTCTTTGGCTGCTTGCATCAACATGACTCCTTTGGACAGGGATTATCACAACATTATATTTTAAAAAACAGAATTTTAACAGATGATGTCTTTACCCAAAGAATTGAAATACTTGTTGGTAAACCTGTCATTTAATAAGAACATTTCAGATGTATTAAATATCCAGTTTATAAAATGTACTAGATTGGAGGTGAAGAAAATTCTTTTTTAGTAATAATTCAATGAATCATTACTTTTAAATGAGAAATTTCAAGCTGTATTTAAAATATGATTTGATTTATAAGTTACTTTATACACAGTTCTTAATGCTTGTGCTTACATAAAGTGAAGCGTACTTCTGTGAGTGTTAGTGGGATGCTGCTGTGAGAAGGTAGAGAATTTGAGCTGATCATTTTTCTTCACAGGCCTGGAAACTGAGGCCCAAGGGAAATAGGCTAAGTGAGCTGTTGAAGGTGCTGCCTGGCTTGGCTTAATTCTCATTCTACTGTGATTTCTTAGTATTTTCACTTAAGACGCATTTGTTAAGAGTCCTGCATCATTCTATTTGATTTAGAATTATTCCTCTGGGATGTTGTAATTATTTACTTACTTGTTTTTATTTTATTTATGTTTTTTAAAGTTTTTTTGGGGAGTGGCTCACACCACATGGCATGTGGGATCTTTAGTTCCCTGACCAGGGATCAGACTGGCACTCCCTGCGTTGGGAACTCGGGGTCTTGCTTTAAACCCTGAACCATCAGGAAAGGCCCTGTAATTATTTTTTGAACTAATTAAATCATGCAAGAATTTGCACACAAAATGTTTGCTGTAAGTTTTTTGAAATAGCAGTAATTTCTTGAGTATTCTCAATTTGGTAGGGTGTAGGATTAGGTTGTAAAGTGTTTTAAAATGTTATGTATTTAAAAGTATTTTTGTAGCTCCATATTATGATAAAACAAAAGCCTCAGAGCTCAAATTAGAGGATTAAAGAACAGCAATAAAATACAGATTTCACTCTGTTGCCTGGAAAGGCAGTTATTTTTGAAGTCTGACTGTGGTATGGTAATTCAGACAGGGAGTTCAGAATGTACTACGTTTTGTAATTGCTGTGAAGTACGATGTGGTGGGTAGTGTATCCCTGACAGAACTGAGGAACTGGGGTGGGCAGGAGTAGGCTTCTCTCGTAATGATGGATTCCTAAATAAGACGTCCAGAGGAAGCTGCATAAACGCTGTGATTAAATAACTATTAGTGAGAAGCCGGCCTCCTCCACTGTGCTAGGATCCCGTCCCCACTCGCCCACTCAGAGATCAGCTCTCCTCTCAGCATTTTCTGCTCTCTGCTCCATCATCTGTCAGCGTGTCATGCGATGTGCTCTCCTGCTCTCCATCTGTTCCCTTGACTCTGTCCTTCTCGAGCACTGTCCCTTTTCTCTGTCCCTCAGTGGCTGCAGAAGATTGGTTACTTGGTGTTAACAGTATAGGATAAAAGATTATTCCATCCCTTCTTGTCAGGATCAGTTTTCTGTTCCCTGAAGCAAATAGATGATCTAACAGAAAAATCTGAGGAGCCAGTTTCCAAAACTGTTAATGAACTAGTTTGCATTGATGGATAAGTTAGTCGTTTGGTCGGTGGCTTGGCTGTTCATTGATATTTACCAGTCAGAGAGAGTAGATCTTTATAGACCTGTTCTCTGTAAGATGTGTTGAGAGTTGTTCACAGTCTAGGTAGTTGCAGTTGTATCAGTTCATTAATGTATTTCTTACTGCTAGGACATTCACATAACATAATTTACTGCTTTAAAGTGAACAGTCAGGTAGCATTTAGCCTATTGAGAGCGTTGTAGAACCACCACCTCTGTCTGACAGAAATGTTCTCATCACCCCAGAGGCAAAGCCCGTGCCCCCTGAGAGGTTGCTTCCCACTTCCCACTCGTGGCCACCACCATTCTGCGTTTTGTCGCTATGGGTTTGCCAAGTCTGGATTTTTCATATAAATGGAATCATAGAATTATGTGACCTTTTTTGTCTGGCTTTTTTCACTTAGCATAATGTTTTTTGAGGTTCATCCACATTGAGCATGTGTCAGTGCTTCGTTTATTTTTATGACTGAGTGATATTCCGTTGTATGCACAAACCACATTTTTGTTCATCTGTTCATTCATTGTTTCCATCATTTGACTCTTGGGCCACTCTTTGGCTATTTAGAATAGTGCTACCATGAACATGTGTGTACGTGTATTTATCTGAGTACCTGTTTTTTTCAGTTCTTTTGAGTATATACCTAGGAGTGGAATTGGTACATCAGTTTTATATTTAAATTTTTAAGAAACTGCCTACCTTTTCCATAGCAGCTGATGCTTTTATATTTTCACCAGCATGGTTCCAGTTTCTCCACATCCTTGCTGACATTTGTTTTCCTTTCTTTGGATTATAGTCATCCTTGTGGGTGTGAAGTGGTATCTCATTGTGGTTTTGATTTGCGTTTCCCTAATGACTAACAATGTTGAACATCTTCTCATGTGCTTTTTGGTTATTTATATATCTTCTTTGGGGAACTGTCTATTCAGATTCTTTGCCCAGTTTTTAATTGGGCTGTTAAATTTCATTGTCAGGTTGTGAGAACTATTTATTTATTGTGGATACTAGGAGTTATGTTGAATCTGTAGACCCACTTGGGAAGAATTGCCATCTTAACGATACTGAGTGTTCTGGTCCATGAGTATGGGACATCTCTCCCATTTATTTAGGTCTCCTTTAGTTTTTCAGTTGTGTTAATTTCAAGTAGATAACTTGTGTTTATTAATGGAGTTGAAAGGATATTACTGAGGCAGGGAGGAGAATGGAAGTGATGTTTTTCATGCCTTCTTGAAAGAGGCAGCCAGTGATGTTAATCTTATTTGGAATTCAAGAATGAAACTTTGGTGCCACATGAAACTTAAACACATTTTATAGTGCATTAGTTCAAACCTAATACAAATCTTTTTTTAAAAAGTGTTCTAGCTCCTAATACAGCGCCTGTACTATCTTTTGATTCTTTTTCTGTGAGAACCTTATTCTTCATAGATTTTTAGCTGGGTATTGGTGCCAGAGTTTTGTTACCGCTCTTGAGGTAAGAACTATAATTACGTTGTCAAAATAATATTTAGAGTATTATTTTCAGAGAATAATTGCAGTGGTGTGACGAATATCTTATGCTCATCAAATTTTATGTAAACATAGGCATGAGTTATTTTAATTGAGTTATTGGTGTTGTTTTTGGCCTTTGTTCTTCCCTAATCTATAAAAATAATGTTGGGCTTTTTGAGGGGCTTTGTAACATTTGCAATATTTACATAAAGATCAGTTGATAAGCTGTTTGGTAAAAGTAAACTGTCATTTGTACTTGCCTTGAGTTTTTTTTCTTGTTTCTAGGACATCTTTAAACCTTTTCCTTCCCAGAATTGTGTTCTGATTCAGAGAGCTAATTTTTAGTTGCCTGATGAGTTGCTGGGTTCGTTGGCTTTCAGACTAACTTATATTATTGACTCTTCTTGAGTGTGTTAAAATTTTACAAAGATTTCAGTGTTAATATTCTGAAATATTCAGAAGAAATATTAATGTCATTTTAAACTGACAAGATTAAAATGAAGATTTTTAAATTATGAACATTTTATAAAATTTTATTATAGAGTAATTTTTTAATAAATAAATTTTTAAAAAGGCCTATTTTAATATGCATCTCTGGAGTTACTGTCAAAACAGTTTTTCATCTGATTGCAAAGAGGGTTAGGCAAAAGAAAAATCAGAGTAACAGGATTTACTCCTTAGCTCATCCCTCTGTCCAGTAATTTCTCCTTATTTAATTTCTATAAGAATTTATCTTTTTGTCCAAATTTGACAAATACTGTATGCCAGCACCCTTTTTCCATCCCATGGCAGGTCATGAGTCAGTCAGGCACTCTTCTTGGCGGACTTATAGAGGAATGTTTAAAAGCTCAAAAAAGTGAGAAGAAAAATAATTGTCGTCGTCTGTGCAGGCTACATTAGACGCTTTTTTTCAGACATCTTCAGTGTTTGTGTGTAGGGGTGTGAATGTGTGCTTTCAGTCTTGCATCCTGCTTTCTTTTAGGTTAAATGTTAACTTAATTCAGTTTTGAGGGTCTTGCTTCAGCATTTTGTTTGCATAGTTTTTTTATCTCAGTGTTTTGCTTTTTGGCCACAGTTTCACAACTCCTCTTTGAGTGGCCAGTTGTCGCCTTACTCTGAATAAGTGACTAGCCCGCACTGCTCACATGCTGCAGCCTTCTCCATCTTCACAGCCGCTCTGCCTCTGAGGTGCTGGAGCAGCAGCGACGGGCTTTGAAGGGAGGCCTGGGTTCCGGGAGCCTGCGGACAGAGCCCCGTGTGCCCAGCAGAGCAGGCATCTAGGAGGATGGAGGCCTGCAAGTCCTCTGCCCTTGATGATGTCCCCTGGTCGCTGCCTGGCGGGATTTCCCTTAGGGGAGCAGGGCCTTGGTTTCACCCCAGCTTCCCCTGTGGCTCCTTCCTGATGAGCTGGCCCCGGTCCCTCGGAAGAGCTGCAGCTTGTTCTCACCCGTCCTGCTCCTGCCACTTGCGGGCTTGGTGGCCCGGGCCGGTGACCCGACCTTCTGAGCCGTGGTGACATGCACAGGGGATGATGCTACCCCCGAGTCCACGACGGTATTGTGGCGTTCAGTGAGATGATGCAGACAGCACGCGGGTGTCCGCTCTTAGGAAACAGCACATGCCTGTTACCACTGTCACCTCTGACCTCCCGCCTAGGTTCTCGAGGCTGTGTTCATGCTGGTGTTCGTTCCTCAGAAGTGTCCTGCTGTCTCCACCCAGGTTCTCATCACACTCCATTCTGTATGTATGGGCTGCCCTGGCCCCAAGGGAACCACTTTGGGTCCAGCAAACAGGAGGCTGTGGGCGCTAACCCCTCAGCGTGGGTGCCAGGCGTAGCTAGGGCCTGTGGGCACTGGCCTGCGGTCTCAGGTATGAGCTGAGGAGGGGCTGGGACAGGGGTGGGTGTGCAGGCTTCCACGGCAGTGTCTGTGACCTCAGACTATATACCAGGATTGGGTGCCCATGAGAAGTGGCTGGCTGGCTGCCTTCCCTGGTCTGGGGCAGTAGCCAGTGTGGACCAGGGCCCTGGCTTGTTGCTGACCTGGGCCATGTTCTTGACCACTGTGCCTCCATGTCTTCACCTGTAAAATGGAGATGACGATACCTACCATATGGTGGAAGTTATAATAAATAAGAATCTATGTAAAATAAAACACTTAGAACGGTGCGAGTTGCATTCGTGATTGTCCAGTGTTAAGCTTTGCTCTGGTTCCGAGGCTGTCGTTACGCAGCTTTGAGCTTAGCCGTCTGTGCCGTTCGGTGTTGCTGGGGTAAGGGGTGTCCACAAACTCGTGTCTCCTCTGTGTTCTGTAAGGTTCAGCCAGCGGAGGATCTCATGGGTGAGTGGAGGCAGCAGGAGGAAGAGTGGCTGCTCCCTACTCGGGTCTCTCTTGAACAGCCCCTGATCCAGCTCCCTTCCCCTGGGAGCCTTTTGGTTTTCCCTCTGAGACACCTGTCAGCCAGCCTGGCTCTTGCTGAGGGCTCTAGACGTACCAGCCCGGCAGCCCTTCCCCAGAGGTCTGGGCCCCTCTGGAGCCGCCAGGCTTCTGGGTGCTCAGAGCCTCGTCCTCGTACCCTTGGGCCTCCAGTTTTAAGGGTGGAGACTGGTTGTTTCTGGTAGCCTTAACCTCCGTGTTACCTCAGTCATGCCTTTTTAGTTTAACTAATGGCCATATATTAAATTTTCTTTGTTGAAGGGTAGTTCGGCTTCTTTGACGATATGGTCCTGGTGGGTTGAGCTGAGCGTGTTTTCCAAGGCTGTGCTTGACATCTCTTCCTGCCCCCGTTTCCCTTCCTGCTGCCCTGGGCCCTTGTCGCCATCTCTGAACCAGCTGGGGTGCAACCAGGAGACGGAAACCACACTGCAATTCGCATAGGGAAAATTTAAAAGAAAGAATTACTAACTATAACAAAGGCTTGAAATAACAGGGGATTGATACTAAGAAGTAAGGAGAATGCCAAAGAACACAGGAATTGCACACAGGAGGAGCGGCCAGGGCCGCAGGGCTGGGATGAGTGTCTCAGGAAGAGGCTCCCCCCCACCCCGCCCCCTGAGGTCTGAGATCCAGGCCTCCTTGGGGAGGGCACGGTGGTGCTGAAGTTGCTGAGGGCTGATGGTGGTGGAACCTGTTGGACACCCACCCTCTGGGGTGCAGGGGCATGTCGTCCACAGGACGCTTCCAGGACGTGGAACGGGCTTCAAAGCGTCCTGAGGAAGCTCCTGCCGCTGGACACTGCTGGTTGTCCTGCTGTGTGCGAGCGCGTCGCTGGAGAAGCTGATCCCGCAGGAGCTGAGCCCAGAGAAGCAGGAGAAGCCTGGCCAGAGGACGCCCCCAGAACCAGAGGGGAGCTCTCCCTTCCCCACAGGGCGGGCCAGGCCAGCTGATGGAGGAGCTGTCTGAAGGCCCGCCTTCATGTCTGCAGAGCAGGCCCCAGAAGCTAAGAGGCGGCAGTTGGTAGCTGGTTCTCACGCAAAAATAATTCAAATGTGCTTTGTTCACTGATGTAAAGGACTTCAGAGAACCTTTAGTTCCTAGTGTGTTGCGTTCTCATGAATGCTTTGTTATTTTCCGACTGAAATTTTTGCCAGTCTGGTGTGTGTGTAGTACAATCTTGTGGTTTTCCCATGGGCTTTAGTGCTTTTTCCTATATACGTATGTGTATGTAGACACATGGACTTACCGGTGGCTCAGCGGTAAAGAATCTGCCTGCCAAGCAGGAGATGCGGATTTGATGATCCCCTGGAGAAGGAAATGGCAACCCACTCCAGTGTTCTTGCCTGGGCAATCCCATGGACAGAGGAGCCTGGCGGGCTGCAGTCCGTGGGGTTGTAAAGAGTTGGACACAACTTGGCGCCTGAACAGCAATAACACCTACACATATATATGTTCTGTGGGTTTGGACAGATGTGTAGCACATGTATCGATCATTGTAACATTGTGTAGAGAAGTCTCACTACCCTAAAAACCCTCTGTTACACCTGTTCACAAACCCACTCCTGTCCCCTAACCCCTGGCGACCACTTGTCTTCTTACTGTCTCCATAGCTCTGTCTTTTCCAAAATGTCGTAGAATTGGACTCATGCAGTATGTAGCGTTTTCAGATTGGCTTTTCATTTGGTAATATGTGTTTGATGTTCCTTTTCATAGCTTGGTAGCTCATTTCTTTCTAGTACTGAATAATACTCCTTTGTCTGGATGGACCTCAGTTTATTTATCCATTTGCCTACTGAAGGACGTCTTGGCTGCTTCCAGGTGTTGGCAGTTAGGAGTAAAGTTGCTGTAAACATTCATGTGCAGGGTTTTGTATGGGCATACATTTTCATTTACTTTGGGTAAATACCACGGAGTACGATTGTCGAGTTGTATGCTAAGAGTATGTTTGGGTTTGTAAGGAGCCACCAGACTGTCTCATGAAGTGGCTACGTGAGCCTCATTCCCACCCGCAGTGAACCAGCGTTTCCTGCCACTCCATGTCCTTGCCTGCACTTGACAGCATGCTGGGTTTTGTCCAGAATTCTGCAGTTTTATTTGTTGAAATAATCTAAATATGTCAACCAAGTTGTTACTAAATCTTACTCAAATCTTCTAAATATGCTGATCGTTTTGTCTGTTGGTTTTATAATTTACTGGGAGGAGTATATTGTTATTGCTGAATTTAACTGAATTTTTCTCTTTGCTCTATACTTTTGTCTGTTTTTCTTTTATATATATTTGATTATATATATAATATTTGATATAAATTTGATAATTATATATATTATTAGGTGATTCCAATTTAAAATTATGCCTTTCTGATAAATTAATTCTGAAATGACTTTTTAAAAAACCTTCCAATAATGCTTTTTGCCTTAAAGTTCATTATGTCTGATTTTAAGTGGTGTATGACTACCTTTGTAGGCTAGTATTTGCCTTGTGTATCTTTTCACCATTCTTTAACCATCAGTACTTCTATAGCTTTGTATTTTACATGTATGTTTTAAATCCAATCTAAGGGTGACTGTTTCAATTGGAACACATATTCCAGTGATGTTTAATGTGATTGCAGGTAAATTTGTGCCTACAGTTGCAGTCTTTTTTAAAAGTTAATTAATTTTGTATAAGAATATTGTTTTGGTGAGGGCTTTCCTGGTGGCTCAGTGGTAAAGAATCCACCTGCCAATACAGGAGACTCGGATTTGATCCCTGGGTCAGGAAGATTCCCCTGGAGAAGGAAATGGCAACCCACTCCAGTATTCTTGCCTGGGAAACCCCATGGACAGGGGAGCCTGGTGGGCTACAGTCTCTGGGATCGCAGAGTCAGGCATGACTTCGAGACTAAACAACAGCAGCATGTATGGTTTTGGTAAGGTATTTTAATATTGACGTCATGCCCAAAGTTTCACTGTGGTGAGAGACTTTCATAGTTGAGAGAAGCTAACAGACACTTCTTGTTGAATAATATGAGAATATTTCTTTTTAGGATATATTTTAGTGAGTTAAAACTCTTTTCGTCACAAATCTGTTTTGCTCTTGTCAACCCTCAGCATTTCGCTGTGGCCTGCAGTTTCTAGGGAACATCGCCTCACGGAATGAAGACTCCCAGTCTGTTGTTTGGATGCATGCATTCCCAGAGCTCTTCTTGTGAGTATATTGATAAATCGAGTTTTTCTGATTTCTGAGAAGGTTGTAGTTATATCACTCCACTTAACGTGAAGTTCCAAAACAGGAAGAGCTAACCTTGGTAATAGAACTCAGGACGGTAGTTGCTCTTGGTGGGTGGTGGCGGGTTCTGCTGGGAGAAGGCGTGAGGGCGTCTGCTGGTTGGATGTTCAGCATCTTGATCTGGGTGGCGGCCACATAGGTGTGTGCATACCTAGTAATTCACTGGGCTGTACACTTAAGGTGTGTGCCCTTCATCATGTGTCAGTTTTTACTTTATGTGAAGGAATGTTTTGGTTAAAGTAAATACCGTTAAGGACACTTTTTAATAAGGAAAAAATTTAAAAGAAAAAATGATAAAGCATTGAAGTATGGGTGATGAATTAATCACTTATTTATTAATTGAGCATTTCTTATGTGCTCAATGTAGTGCTGTGCGTTTTGGTAGATATGGACAAGTGTAAGAGGTTGGAAGATCAGTGTGTTTGTCTCAGTTGGTTCATGGCACTGTTTCTGGTGCTTAATGCTTTGCGTTGCTCAGCCGTGTTGGCGCATAAGAAATGGAGCCTTGAGATGCAAAGTGGGCTGGTGGTGGCCATAGGAAAGGCCTGGCCAGGAGCAGGAGGCTTGCCTCTGATCCAGGGTCCGCTGCCACCCAGGGGTGTCTTCTGTGGTGGCCACAGTGTACGCACCAGAGCAGCGGCTGTTCAGATGCCTGGAGCTGCTGTCACAGTGTATTTCCCATCCTGTATAACATCCCTGTGCTTCCCTGGGGGTTCCGCCGTAGAGAATCCACCTGCAGTGCAGGAGACTCGGATTTGATCCCTGGGTGGGGAAGATCCCCTGGAGAAGGAAATGGCAACCCGTTCTAGTATTCTTGCCTGGGAAATCCCATGGACAGAGGGCAGGCTCCACGACTTAGTGAGTGAACAACAACAACAACGTACTTGCAGGGCAGGCGGTACTGTCCCCATCTAGACAAATGATGGAACTGATGCTTATCATCGATAAATGGTGCAGCTGCAGCAGGAGCCCAGTGCTGCCCTTGGGATCCAAGTCTACACTTTTGAAATACCAGCTGCCCAAACTCTGTGCCGTGATTGTGTAGGTTTTCTGGGCTCATCTGTACAGAGTTAGGATGAGGTAAATGCCCGTGTTATCTCTAGCTCACTGTGCTGGTAACTGGTTCTCAAACTCCTGCAGATACTAGAGTTGAAGGCAAAAAATCTTCATGGTTAGTAATAATTGAGCTTAGGTTGGAAGGAAGAGTTGTGGAATTCAAGCTATAGAAATAAACACTGCTCACTTTTGAGAATGTGTTCCTTGAAAACTCTCTGAGCATCTCATATCTGCCAAGTTCTGAACTAGCTGATTGGAGGAAGGGTAACTTAGGATATCCACTAGTCCCCAAAGCCCATACTGGAGACGTGTCATTGTGTAAGAAGGGAGGTGACTCGGGAGGCCAGGTGTCATAGGAACACAGGAGAGGTCCTGAACAGAGCAGCCGGAGTTTACCTGGTGGTTTTACATTGGTTTCAGACCTGGTGCTCACAGAAGCCAAGGAGGTCTTGCTATCGTGTTCCATTTTTGTGTCAAAAAACACACTGAAAGAAGTTATGTGACTTCACTCTGTGCGTTTGTGAGACAGACACAACCAGGTTTGAACTCAGCTTTGGCAGGTATTGGCTTTGTGCCCTTGGGCAAGTAAAGTCAACACATTCTTCATCTGTGAAAAAGGGTACTACCTCCTCCAAAAGAGTGTATTATGAGGTTTAAATGAAAAGAAGTCCTGCCATAGTGCATGACCGTACTAGAATTGACAGTTGATAATGTAGTGACCTTTTAAGGTCACACAGCTGATAAATGGAGGAACCAGGAGTTATCCTGAGGCTTTTGACTCTTAAGTTCTCCCTCTATCATCTTTCCCTGGCACATTCTGTCCCTCAAACTATTAAAGAAATGCCTATAGTCTTGGAAGTATCTTTTTTTGCCTTTTAATTTTTCTTTCTAATAAGAATGAGCGTTTCAGTGCTTTATAAAGTAATCACTTTATTTTTTTCTTTAAGCAGATGTTATTTGCTTTTTGCTTCTGAGTCAACTGCAGCTTTCATATCGGATACTTTGTTTTGTGACTAATTTTATATTTGCTATTTTTGGCAGAAATAATGTTTCAAAGTTCTTATTCTTCATTAAATCCTTAGAAATGTCAGTGTATACTGAATTTGTTAGTTGGACTATTGTCATTTATGAGTTGTCATATTTTATTATTGGGCTAACACCCTGATTTCTTTATTTGGAAGATCTTGCCTAAATCATCCAGACAGAAAAATTGTTGCCTACTCGTCAATGATTTTGTTCACGTCCCTGAATTCTGAAAGAATGAAGGAGCTGGAAGAAAACCTCAACATTGCGATTGATGTCGTGGAAGCTCACCGGAAGCAGCCTGAGTCGGAGTGGCCGTAAGTGTCTTGTAAGACATGCGGCTGCTTGAGAACATGCTGACGCCACTGTCCTGGTACAGGTTCTGAGCACAAACTTGAATTACAACAATTGAACAATAAGTTAAAGTTTAACATATGTTGAAAAAAACAAGAAAAGCCTTAGGAATGGATCCCATTTCTACCCCTTTTTGTTTGTAAAGTAAATATGTCTTTCTCTGATGCCCTTTCTACTTGGACTTCTGCTTTGGATAGAGTGTATTTTTGATCCTCTCCCAAGGTAATTTGTTCTGTTTTTCCATAAAGTTGGAGTATTACTTACAGGCTGTAAAATGTCTTTGTGGCATTTTATGTTTCAGATTAGTGGGACCCCACCTCCCTCATAAAATATTACCACAAAATTTTTGCATTTACAGAAGTAGTAATTCTATAAGAATTTATAAATTCTATAAGAATTTAATCACACATTTGAATTTTGTCACTTAGAAAATGTTAACCATGATTGGATCTCTTCTGGTTATGAAAGTCTTTATCTTTGGTTCTTCCCTGGAGCAGATATTGGGTAAGAAAGTCAGTGTGATGAAATCTGAGTGAAAGTTGAGAGTTTACTTGTAACTTTGTGCAGCAGCCTAGGACAGAGAGTAATATTATATTTAGAAAAACAGGCCCAGCAGCTAACATAATAAAAACTTACCAGGTAATTGACAACTATTTAAATGACCACTTTTGAGTTGTAAGGAAAAAACCTACCTTCCACTGGTATTCCATCTTCATTGCTTTGTGTGTATAATATTGTTTGCAGCCAGGATTATGACATTCAGTTTTGTGCCGTAAGGTAATGTAGCAAAGAATTCCAGTTGTCTGTATGGGTGTCCAGACAGAATACTTTTTTCTTGCCTGTATTTGTATTGATAAATTATGAGTGACAGTTGTTATCCTTTAAATAGTTCTACAGTGAAAATGGGGCTTCCCCAATGGCTCAGTGGTAAAAGAATCTGCCTGTGATTCAGGAGACATGGGTTTGATGCCTAGGTTGGAAAGATTTCCCTGGAGGAGGAAATGGCAACTCACTCTAGTGTTCTTGCCTGGAGAATTTCATGGACAGAAGAGCCTGGTGGGCTACAGCCCATGGGATCACAGAGTTGGACACGATTTAATGACTTAACAATAGCAAGAGCACACTGCTCTTCTTTCTCTCATGTTGCCTCTTCAGGTCCTTTTTTGTCACCTCTAATTTAAATGTTCTTCCTTCCCTCTTCAACTAGGGATTCACCGACTCTTGATTTCCCTGCCCCATCCATTACCTCTCTCCCCACCACCCTCCAGCCCTCTCTTTAGATAAACTCTGCTGTTCCTGTAATCCATGATGTGTGTCTGTATGTTACACTGAAGATGTTTTTCTCTGATTACCTATCTGTGCATATGTCTTTCTTCACTGTTAGAGTTTGGAATTGGGGCTGGGACCTAGCCCCTTACACACAGCATTTGGAACATTGCATTTTTGAATGAAAGTTCTTGAGGGAAGATATTTTGAGCTCCAAGTAGGTGGTTTATGAATGAACTTTAGGATCACAGTTTTGTATATCTGGCTTGATAGGCTGAATTTCTGTTGTCGCACTTAGATGACCTACCTAAGTTGATGTGAAAATTGAGAATCTTGACTATTATTCATTTTGTTAGTAATATTTTATGTCGGTGTTGTTCAATTATTTGAAAGGTTATGGGAGAAATAGAATATGTGTTTCGGTTTTGTTTTTATGTGGAGTGACGGTGTGTTATGGTAGTTAATATGTTTCATTTGACTATCATACTTAAAAGGTATACTTGTACGATGTTATTTACTAAGAAGTGATTAAACTGTGTTTGTCAATATAGTTAATGCTTTACTGTCATGCTTAGTACTAACCTTGGTTATGAGCAGTATATTCCTTAGTTCTTAAGTCTTCAGATAGCCTCTGGTAAATATGATTCAGAGTTAATTAATAGTACTCCTCAATCTTTTTAGTTGTCAGAGTAGTACTTTGAAGAAGTATGCTTATAATTTCTGCCTCAGGGCTTCCCCAAGTTGATCTCTGAGTTTCGATGAGTGCATTGCTTGACAGTGAGGATGTTTTTGTGGTAACTTGAGAGTGCTTAAGGAGTAGATAATCAAGCCAGAATTCATGACTGTTGGTGGCATATGTTTCAGTAAAAAGTAGGACATGTCTGTTTCTCTGGTTAATCTTAACACTACGCTTTTGACTAAAACAGTTTAATGTGTTATGTTATACCTGAGCTTGTAGCTAAATTTCATTTTATCATTTAAACTATAGTGAACTTTTTCCTTTTGTAACTTAGATATTAGTAAAAACTATGGTAGGACCTTTCCTTGAATTTAATAAATTTGAATCACTGTGATAAAGTTTTTAGAAGTAAAATTGGAGAAAAATATTTTGAGGGTTTTTATTTTCTTTTCACTGCTAATGGAAAAATAGTATGTGACCCTCTTAAAACATTTGAAGATTAATTGAAGCTAATCAAAAATTCAACAGGAGTACTTTATGTATAAACTATGCTTATAAAGTAGATGAGGCCTTGTCTGTTTTACTATGTTTCTAGTAACCTAACCCTTTCCTCCTTTTCTCTTAGGTTCTTGATTATTACAGACCATTTTCTGAAGAGCCCGGAATTGGTTAAAGCCATGTATGCCAAAATGAGCAATCAAGAAAGGTAACCCCAAAAACCAGTGTGGTTTTGAGTATTTAGCATTCCATATAGAGTATCCTGTACACATGACCGAGAAACTGTGTGGTTTCTCAGTTGGCACAAAATCTCTAAATACATGCTTCTGTGTCGGTAATGGTTTTAAATTGGTTGGTTAACATTACAGCTCAGCCACAACAGCAGCGATTTACCGAGCGTTGCAGAATCCAGGTTGGCGCCATGACTCAGTAAAGCCATATCGAAAAACATGGAGAACAAAACGTTAGGCTTGTCCTTCGTGTTTAAAGTAATTCCTGCATCTGTGTGTTAGAGCTGTTCAGATGGAGTGTGCTCATTTGTTCATATCCCTGTTGTCAGGATTCAGGATCCACTCTGCAGCTTTGCATTTTTCCAGTGTGTACTTCAGAATGAAAGGAAATTAATACGTGTCTTCGGCCTTCACTGCCGTGTAGTGGGCGGGGCTGTGCCCTTGGAGCCCAGAGACCGTGACACCTTGGCCCTGCGCCTTGTTGTCTGGGTGACCTCGGCCAGGTCTTTCACCTTGTTTTCAGTTTCCTGGCCTGTAAAATCAGAGGAGTGAGTAAAGTGATCCTAGGACTCTGTCCATCCCCAAAGTGTATGTTTTTCCTAACCTGATTGGAAATGTTGCCTTAGGAAAATAAAACCTATTCAGAAATCACTGATCTAATGATCAAAAACCTTAAAAAATGTTAATCTCTTGATTATAGTCACAATTTTTATAATTGCCGTGGTTTTGAAATTCTTTCAGTGCATTTGGGTTCCAACAGTTAATCTTTATGCACTTCTTTGTAGTCTTGTTAAGTAGTGTTTTTTTGTTCTTTGATATCTTTAACAAAAAGGAAAAGTTCATGCTTTTAAAATTCATTTAAATGTCATATTTATAAATCCAGTACCCCTACCACCACCACATATGCATACTTCTCCTGCAGAAAAAGAATTAAAATAAGTAATGTGAAGACCAGTGCTATAAATTAGTACATTGCTCTGCAGTAAGGAACATCCGAAAACAAGAACACACAGTTTCATTGTATTTCAGTATCCAAACTTGTTTTTCACATGTTCCTATCAAATGATCTTTTGTTAACTGGTCCATTTCCTAACCCAGTGAAGATGACGGACTAAACATTTCCCATTTTTATTACAGAAACTGCAGCCACTGCTTTGCAGCGTCATACAGATTTCTTGCTCAGATGTCACCTCCCCTCCCCCATTATTTTTCTTCCAAAGGAGAAATACTTCTATTTCTCACACACCTGCTGGCTAGTGTGTGACAGTAGCATTGGATTGTCAGTGTGAGGGCCAGGATTTGGTCTTTTATATTCTGTGCTGTCCGTGTTTCCTAACCAGTGCTTGGCACATGATAGGTGCTAAAAAAAGTTTTTGAATGAAAGCTTTTGTGACTGAGTGGATTTTCTCACTAGTGTACTTATTACTTTAACATCACCTACTGGGTTGGAAAACTCAGTGCTCTCCCCGCTGCCGCTGCCTCCACCTCTCAGTTTCCCTTGGTCAGTAAGCCTTACCACCTCGACCATCTTAGTATGTGGCAGATTCATTTCTGTCACAGCTCTGGTTTACATACCATCTTTGACTAGACATGGACTTTAGTGTATTTAAAAACTGTGATAAAATACACTTAATACAGGATTTACCATTGTAACCTTTTAAAAATGTGCAGTTCAGTAGTTTAAGTGTAGTTACGTTGTTGTGCAGCCAGTCTTCAGAACTGTTTCATCTTGTATGGTTGAAACTGTGCCCGTTGGGAACTTGCTTGGGGGCCCGGTGTTCAAGAATTCACCTTGCAATGCTGGGGATGCAGGTTCGATCCCTGATCGGGAAACTAAGATTCCTCGTGCCGCAGGGCAACCTGAGAGCTTGCATGCCGCAAGGAAGAACCCAAGAACACAGCTAAGACCTGATGCAGCCAAAAATTGAAAAAAGAAAAGTCTACCCATTAAACAGCTGCCCATTTCTCCCTCCTCCAGCCCCTGGAAACCACTGTGCTACTTTCTGTTGCTGTGAATTTGATTCCTCTAAGTATGGTTGACGCTTGAACAACTCGAGGGTTTAGCGGTGCCGACCAGCAGTGCAGTGGGAAATCCGAGTGTAACTTACAGCCAACCTCTGCATCCGAGGGTCCTCTGCATCCTCAGGTTCAACTGCCTGCAGATGGTGTCATGCGGTGGATCCTGTTTACTGAAAAATTCCATGTCCGTGTGGGCCTTTGCAGGTACTGCCTGTGTTCCCTTGGCTCTCCTGAGTTGCCCAGGCAAAGTTATTTGCATCCTCACCTGCGCATCTATCCTGATTATTTGCTTTTCGGCCGGAATATGTATTCTTCAAGGACAAAGATCGAATCTTGTGAGTTCTCTCTTCTTAACACCTGCCAGAATCAGTACTGGAACATTACTGCAATGGGAAACTCTGCTGATACCAAATACTTACTGAAGCATCTCTTCAGGATGCTGACTCTGTCGATACTGTGGACCACAGATGACCACATCCGCCAGGAGGACATGGTTTGCTGCTGTAGGCCTGGTGTGGCTCGGCTGGTTCAGGTGAAGTCCGCTGTGGGAACTGCTGGGCCTGGCGGCTTGTCTTTGTTCAGTGGCAGGAGGAGGGGACTGGGGCTTTACAAGAGCGCTCAGAGGTCTGTGGAGAAGTGGAGGCTGCTGGGTTCCCTGGTGTCTCGTTTTGGGCAATGATGGATGATTCTTCAGAGTGCCGTGCTGACGGAAGACAAGTTTTTCTCCATGGGGATGTTTGGTGAGACTGATTGTGCCGCTTGTTTCTGGAGTGATGTGCCACGCCGTCCTGTGAGGACTGAGCAGACAGGACAGGTCCGCCTCCCGGGGTTCAGATGAGGGGCTGCGCTGAGGATTTCCGGGGCGCTTGTGGCGTCTCAGCTGGGGACACACAGCAGTCTAGTGAGGAATGCCCAGGCTGTGGCCCCAAGCTGCTGAACTAGAGAATCCAGTCGGGTTGGGGGCTGTTAGATTAAAAAAGCTTGAGGCTCCGTCAGTAAAACAGGCACCGTGTTCATTGAGCCCCTGCTCGTGGCCCCTGGGGCCTGAGGGTGTGGATAGTGCCCCCTCCCTGCCCCCGGCGTGGGCGTGGAAGTGGGGAAGCGACGCTTTCTCGTGCTGGCTCTTGTGGTTGTCATAGTGAGCTGACCCCGTCACCTTGGTAGTTTATTTGGCCTGATTACTGGGTGAAGATATTTTGGATACAGGGTTAAAGTCAGCTCACATAGTGTGATTATGCAGAAATGAGTGCCTGCGTTTATACAGTTTCCTATTTCCCCTTCCCAGTGAATTGGAGTGATACTGAATTAAACTAGCTGCTCCTGGAAACCAGCTTGTGTAGTTGCCAGGTTTATAATCTGTGTTGTGTTCTTGTTCAGTTGCTTAGCTGTGTCTGACTCTTTGCGACCCCCTGGACTACGGCACATCAGGCTTCCCTGTCCTTCACCGTCTTCCAGAGTTTACTCAGACTCATGAACATTGAGTCAACGATTGTATCCAACCATCTCATTCTCTGCCACCCCCTTCTCCTTTTGCCTTCAATCTTCCCCAGCATCAGGGTATTTTCCAGTGAGTCAGCTCTTCACATCAGGTAGCCAAAGGATTGGAGCTTCAGCCAAGCTGTCTGCAGAGTTACAGTCTGTACAGCACAGGGTGTAAGAGCGGAGGCTAGCTGGTGCCAGTTAGTCTCTCTCTCTCCTTTGGGTACGTTACTCTTGGAGCTTTGTCATCTGTAAAATGCAGATAGTAACGGTAGGCACCCCATGAAATCATCGTGGTTACTAACTGAAATAAGCATGAAGCTCTCAGTGTTGGCATGTAATCATCACTCAGTAAAAGTGAGTTGGTATTTCTGCTTGCATGTTTCTATTATTACTACTACTCTGGTGAGCTTGACTTTTTTCTCCAGGTAGCATCGCTGTTACGTATGGAGGCAGCATGCAACCATTGTCCTTTACTCCTCAGAGAGACCTTCTGAAATAATTGTATTCTTGCCGTGTTTTCACATCAGGTATCTGAGACTTTTAAGGTTAAGGTGTTTGCCCTGGTTCACAGAGGTAGCTGAGGTGGTATTTGAACTCAGTATGTTTGATGCCAAAGTCATTGATCATTTTCCCTGTAATGCAGTAGCTTCTCATATATGTAATTTATGACTGGATTAATGAGATTAATTCAGCAACAGCCTATATCTTGGTTAGCCTGTTGTCCAGGTTAATGAAAGTTTTGGCATGCCATTCAACAAATCATACAGGTGGAGTAGTTCAAATATAAATTGAGAATTTGTTGGAGATGTCAGTCTTTGAATTACAGATATTTTATTTCCAGAATTGTAAGATACTGTTTCCTACCCCAGAATGCTTGTAAAACTCCCTCTTTCATTTTTCCCTCATCCTTTGCCCCCTCACTCCAGTCCTCTCATAACTACCCGTTTTAGGACGGTGCAAGCACAGCTCTTGAGATTGTAGACTGCATCAACTGAACCATGACTTTAAAATATGAATCTTGATGTAGATTTTTTCCATAAAACTGTTCCTGTGTGCATTGCTATCAGTTTTTTTATGAAACAGGAATTGTCATTCTGAGGACAGAGTGTGTAACTCTCAGAAGTGCATTAGAAGTAGGCTGCCCATGATAGCCAGTGATTAAGGGATGAGCTGAGGGGTGTGTCTGGGGGCCCGAGGCAGCTCCCGTGATGATTCTGGGTGAAGGGAGTGAGACGGAGCTGTTGTGATGGCTTTGGACAGCTGGTCTCTGACCTCTGACTGGCTCTTTCTGGTTTTGCAACCTTCACTTCTGGGTGAATGGATCTCTTAGACCACTCGTGCTCCGTTATGTTTTCAAGAAAGTGTTTAGTATGGTTCCCCCACGACTGCAAGAAGTAAGACATTCCCCATTATGTCCCATTTCCCCTGACTCTGCAGTACTTCTCAACACACACATGTTTTCTGGCATAGAGATAGG